ACTGTATTTTCCACTGTATGCATCCGAAGAAGTGGGCTGTAGTCCACGAAAGCTTATGCTCTAATAAATTTGTTAGTCTCTAAGGTGCCACAAGTACTCCTGTTCTTTTTGTGGATACAGACTAACACGGCTGCTTCTCTGAAACCTATTTAAACTGTGGAAGAGCTTTAACAGGAAAGACTGAGACAGACCCAAGCAGAATATCCCAAAGTCCCTTTGTGGATCTGGGCTGAGTTGCAGAATAAAGGTAATTTTAGGGTAACTAACTCCTAACCCCTATGATGAAATAACTCCAAAATTTCACAGCTAATTCCAACTCTGACCCTGATATATCTCAGCCATTTCCTAGGCAATCTGCCCCTGCACATGGATTTGAACGCATTTTGAAAAATCCTCATTTAAGCAGAAATGTTCATGCCACCTTGGCTACTGCTCCTCCATCAGCACGCACTTATCAGTTAGGATGCCAGTTTCCTTCTGAATCTCTTGGGCATCAGGACGGCATGTGTAAATTCTGTCAGCACTCCTGCCTTTCTACCTGTGACCTACTGAGTGATAATTCTGGGCCTTGGGAATATCAGGAATTGTTCCCCCACCTACCACCATGTTGGCAGAGGTGTGTATGTGATGTGAGGAAATCTAGGGATTAGTTTGAGAAGCATCAGGGATTCATAGATGATATGAGATATGAGGGGAGCTGGGTCTGAGTCTCCCATGAGTGTGTTATCAAAGCAAAGAGGTGCATTGTACCTTGAGGTTCCAGACTGCCTCATTTCCATGGGAATTAGGGGGGAATGAGGGAGGGTGGATGATGTGAGGGGTGACATGGCAGGGGATAGCAGAGCAATTTGGGATATGGGGTGGATGGGGCCTGTCAGTCCCACATTCTCCCATTCTGTGTGTGTGGTCCCGTCTCCAGAATCCCCACGCTGGACCCTGTTGTGAGGGGGACCACCGCCACCTCTCAGGTCAACAACCTCACCAGATGCCTCAGCGACTTCATAAAAACCATCTGGCACAACATGGACGCGAGACGCTGCAGCGCTCCCCCACAGGTAACCTCATGCCGCCCTGCTGTAGGAGCAACTAGCATCGTTCCCCAGGCTGCACGGCAAGATCCAGCCAACGGAGGAGCCTCCCGTAGCCCCCAGATCCCACAACCAGACCCCGCCCCCGGGAGACCCAACACCTCCTCCAAGGTTACCCAAAGAGCCTCTGACTGCCAAAAACCCCATGCCCCACCGAGGACCCACCAGCTGGATGCCGCCTGCAGAAGAACCAGAACCATCCCCAGCGCTTCCAAACACGACCGTGCCCCGACAAAGCCCAGCACCGGTGCTTCCAGAATCCCACTCCATCCCAGAAGATCCAGTGCTGCCTCGGAGACACCGAGAGCTGCCCTCCCCACCACACCAGGACCCCCGCCACAAGACCCAGCTGAACACCTCCACAGTCCGAGGGATAACAAGGCTGCAAACCGTCCCCGCAGCACCTGAACCAAAAACACCGCCCCTGGAAAAGATGGCATCCGCTACCCCCTGCTGAAGAAGCGAGACCCTGGCTGCTTGGTGCTCGCTGCCATCTTCAACAAATGCAAGCAGTTCCATCGCGTTCCCCGCTCCTGGAAAAAGTCCATGACCGTGCTCATCCACAAAAAAGGCGACCGAGACGACCCTGGCAACTGGAGGCCCATCTCCCTCTGCTCCACCATCTACAAGCTGTATGCCAGCTGCCTCGTGGCAAGGATCACAGACTGGTCAGTGTGCAGGGGCACCGTCAGCTCAGTGCAGAAGGGTTTCATGTCCTGCGAGGGATGCTACGAGCACAACTTCCTCCTTCAGACGGCCATCCAGGAGGCCAGGAGGTCTAAGAGGCAGTGCGCAGTAGCATGGCTTAACCTGACCAACGCCTTTGGGTCCATACCCCACCATCACATCTTTGCCACCCTGGGAGAGTTCGGGATGCCAGAAACCTTCATCCAGATCCTCTGGGACCTCTACAAGGACTGCACCACCACCAATCCGTGCCACGGACGGAGAGACGTACGCCATCCCTATCCACCGCGGTATGAAACAAGCATGCCCCCTTAGCCCCATCATCTTCAACCTGGCCATGGAACCGCTCATCCGAGCCATCTCCAGCGGCCCGACCGGCTTCGACCTGCACGGCAAGAAACTCAGCATTCTGGCCTACACGGACGATCTGGTCCTGACCGCGGACGACCCAGAGAGCCTCCAAGGTATGCTAGATGCCACCAGCCGAGCTACTGACTGGATGGGGCTCCACTTCAATGCGAAGAAGTGTGCAACTCTGAACATTGATGGCAGCAAAAGGGACTCGGTGCAGACAATGGAGTTCCAGATCCAGGGTGAGCCCGTCATCCCCCTGGCAGAGGGGCAGGCATACCAGCACCTGGGCACGCCAACAAAGTTCCATGTCCGGCAGACACCCGAGGACACCATCCAGGAGATCTTGCAGGATGCCGCCAAGATTGATGCCTCCCTGCTGGCACCGTGGCAGAAGATAAACGCCCTGAACACCTTCCTGATCTCACACATCTCGTTCACCCTAAGGAGATCCACCGTGGCGAAGGTGCCCCTCAACAAGGCAGACAAGATCATCCGGAAGCTGGTGAAGAAGTGGCTGTTCCTTCCCCAGAGAGCCAGCAACGAGCTGGTCTACATCGCCCACAGGCACGGCGGCGCCAACGTCCCCTGCATGGGTGACCTGTGTGACATCGCGGTGATCACCCACGCCTTCCGCCTGCTGACATGTCCTGACGCCACGGTGAGGAACATTGCTGCGAACGCCCTGCGTGATGCGACAGAGAAGCGGATCGGCAGAGCCCCCTCGAACCAAGACATCGCCACCTTCCTGAGCGGCTCCCTGGATGGGGAATTCGGTCGGGATGGGCGCGACATCGCTTCACTGTGGTCCCGCACTCGCAACGCCACGCGTCGCCTGGAGAAGCGGATCGGCTGCTGCTGGCAGTGGTGCAAGGAGTGCCAGGAGCTGGGAGTCCGAGTGCCTCAGATCAGGTCGGACGACAACACAATCGTCACCCCGATGGCCAGGGTCTTGCTGGAGAGGACTCTGAAGGCCGCCATCCGCTTGCTGTACTTGGAAGCCCTGAAGCGTAAACCGGACCAGGGTAAAGCCTTTGAGTTGACCAGCAAGTGGGACGCTAGCAACCACTTCCTCGCCAGGGGTGGCTTCACCCGTTTCACCGACTGGTGGTTCATCCACCGTGCCCGGCTCAACTGCGTCCCGCTCAATGGAGCCGTCCGCCATGGGAACCGAGACAAGCGTTGCAGGAAGTGCGGCTACCCCAACGAGACCCTGCCCCACGTCCTGTGCACCTGCAAACCCCACTCCAGAGCCTGGCAGCTGTGCCACAACGCCATCCAGAACCGCCTGGTGAAAGCCATTGCGCCACGCCTAGGGGAGATCTCCGTGATCTGCACCATCGCCGGTACTGACAGCCAGCTACAACCTGACATGGTCGTCACCGATGAGGCCCAGAAAAAAATCATTCTCGTCGACGTCACGGTCTCCTTTGAGAACAGGACCCTGGCATTTTGCGAAGCCCAAGCTCGTAAGCTGGAAAAGTACGCCTCCCTGGCTGATACCCTGAGAGCGAAGGGCTATGAGGTACAGATGGACGCCCTGATTGTCGGAGCCCTGGGCGCCTGGGACCCCTGCAACGAGCGTGTGCTGCGGACCTGCGGGATCGGTCAATGCTACGCACGTCTCATGCGGCGCCTCATGGTCTCAGACGCCATCCGATGGTCCAGGGACATCTACATCGAGCACATCACCGGCCACCGACAGTACCAGGAGGCGTGAGCCAGAGTGACATCATTCTTCCACTACGAGAAAGAGACCAAGTGACCTTCTCCGTTAGATCATATGAACTGGCACCATAAACTCCCTGAACATTAAATCTCACCAAATGAGGGTCAATCCATCCTCATCATCATATCCACTCATTATTATCCACACCCGAACATAGCCACTTTATGAGCTTCATACCCTCATATCTCAATGTCTGTACTTTGACCCATCAACCTTTTACCCCCAGTCGGGGATATTGCAGATTATGTATTCCTCATGCCACCTTATCTTAAACCAAACTTTGCACCCTCGATAATCTGTATGTTATTCCCTGATAACCAGAAACTTCTATGCTCAAACTCTGTTCACTATTGTTTTTTTTAACATCATCTTAATAAAATTTTTAAATCTGAGGGAACCATGCCCCTTTGCAGGTGTCTGAGCCCCTCCTCCATGTCACTCCTCCCACCTCTCCCACTACTGTAATCCTCCCCTCCTCCCCACCTCATCTGAGCCCCCAACCACTCTCCCCTCCCCTTCAGCCATCCTCATTTATCCCCCTCTCCATAATCTCCCTCACCTTGCTACATTCCCCCCAATAAACAAACCTCTCAGAGGCAGATTGGAACAAGATCCCTCCTCTTTTTAATTTCTGATTGGGGTTGGATTTGAGCTCATAATGTCTAGGTGACACTCAGATTCTGTGGCCATTGCAGTCCCTCAGAGGCACCCAGAGTCTATGAGATGCATCTGGTTTTCAACCCTGCAGGGCTCTCTCTGCACATGCTCAGTATAATCACTTTAGTGCGGCAGCCATAGGAATCTGAGAGCTGGTCTTATCAGGAGAAGCCAACGGTGATCAGAAAAGGCTAGTGGGTCCAATGGGGGTAAGCCTCCAGTGAGTGAAACACAGATGCAAAATGCTCAGCCCTGGGCTTTTCCCTATTAGTGGACACAAAAATGTTGGTAGAAGCCATCCACTTTTGGAAAAGTTGTTTTATTCAGGGAACTGTAGCTTGTACTCCTGGGGGAATTCTGCACCAAAAAATTGTGCAAACAATATTTTAAAATTCTGAAAAAATCTGCATACACCTCTACCCCGATATAACGCTGTCCTCGGGAGACAAAAAAATCTTACTGCGTTATAAGTGAAACCGCGTTATATCGAACTTGCTTTGATCTGCTGGAGCGCGCAGCCCTGCCCTCCCGGAGCGCTGCTTTACCGTGTTATATCTGAATTCGTGTTATATCGGGTCACGTTATATCGGGGTAGAGGTGTATTTTATTTGTCAAAATAATACATTATAATCATGCCAGTTTCAATTATTTTGTTAATTTATTTCAAAATACCTGTCAATAAGTACATCTGTAACCATACAGACAACAAGAAAAAAGATTCAATAATTTTTTTTTGACAAATAGATTCCTTACTAGGCATATTAATACATAACTTTGAGTAATAATTCATTTAAACTACAATACAGATACATATTTCCTGCACTCCTCAGAAGCAGTACAAAGGCTTGTGGAGTCAGGGGTAACAGAAGAGCTGAGAGAGAGGGAAGAAGCCTGGGAGTGAACCTGGAGGGTTGTTGGGTGTGGGTGGGAGAAGTATGGAACAGGTTTCTTTTGCAGGTGGGGGAGAGATTGTTAGGGAGTTGGGGAGTCTCTCCCATGCAGACCCTGGCTGACCCCTAGCCTCTCCCATTAAGGCAGGCAAATCTGCTCTTGTCCCTGTGTGCTCCTGCAGCCCCTGTCCCACATCCCTGTGTGTCTCTGCAGCCCCCTTCCCTATCCCTATGTGTCCCAGAACCCCTCTCCCCTATCCCCACGTATCCCTGCAGCCCCCTCCCATTCAGCCCCTGGCTCAATGCAATCACCCCACTAGCTCCTGAGCCCACACCCCAGTCTGTCCTCCCCCGAGTCCTTCTGAACCCCAGTCTGTGACACACACACCCCAGCAGCCCCGTGTGCCCCACTCTGTCCCTCCTTACTTGGTCCTGCTGTGAGGAATGCAGCCTTTCCGCCCAGCTGGCTGCCCTCTCTTCTGGCACTGCGGAAACCCCTGGTGGGCAAAAGGTGTAACTGCAGCACCTCTCCAGCAGAATCTATATTCTGAGGAGAAAAAAAAATCTCTGGGGGCAATGAATTCTGTGTGTGCGCATTGGCACAGAATTCACTCAAAAGTAATCTTGGGAACCTTTCATCAAATGGCCTCAAATTTGGGCCACTAGTCCGAACCTGCTCCTCCACAAGGCACTCCAAATATCAAGGCAATCTGAGGAAGTGTTGATTAAAAATAGTCAAGTTTTAAACGGAAAGCTGGTCTCAGCCTTAACTCTACTCATCTCAGTGGTCCTCTATAATAAGGGAGGTGCGGGGATGGAGGGAGAGGCACTGATCTGCGGGGCCTGCTGGTGGGCAGGAGGTGCTGGGGGGTGGGGGAAGCTGATGGGGGGCTGCTCAGCACCCATCATTTTTTCCCCATAGATGTTCCAGCCCCAGAACATCCACAGAATCAGCGCCTATGTTTTAAGTGTATGTCAAGCCTAAGGGGCAGTTCCCTGGAGCTAGCTGAAAATACAGTGTCTGAGGGACTGGCTGGCAGCTTTCTGTGTGCTGAAAGCCAAGAGAAGCAGTCATGAGTCTGATCCTGGCAGGAAACTGAGACAGAGTTTGCTACAGGCACAGGGTTCCCTGGAAAAGCAGGTGTGGATTTCTGAGTAAGGAAACTGCCTGCTGCTGTTTGTTTATACTGTCGTCAGGGCACAGGAATGTGTGGGACATTGTTTGTAAATAATAATGACTGCACCAAAGAAATACGTGATTCCTATAATCAATTTCTCCTCCACATGGAAGAATGGAGCGAGGCCCCAAACATTGGCTAACTGCTCAGGTCAAAGGAGCAATGGTAGAACCTGGGTCAGAATCTAGACCTATGGCAGCAAATGCGTGGTGGGAAACATTTGCAGGGAGCTCCAGCAGCAAACTGCCTGTGCAGAGGAGTAGATTGCTGCTTATTGTGGACTTCAGAATATCTAGCTTTGTGTGCTGAGCAGTCCTTATTGTTCCTTCTCTCAGAGCTGACACTTCTCTCCCCAGACAAACCAAAAACATGGATCCCTGGCTTGTATTTTCCCCCAGGAGAATCAGTACACATAGTGATTATGAGCTCAGTATTGGCCCAAGGAGAAAAAATTATGGGAAGAGACTGGGACAGCTGGAATGGGGCAGGGGTGGGTAGGATTGTTACTTTCCCTTCTGTCTATGGAGTTTTACAAAGTTTATAACTAAAATCTTCTTTCTAGCTCTTAGCTGGTGTTTTGAATGGGCTGGGCTGTAACCTTTAGACTGCGATCTCATAAATCTTAAAAGATTTACCATAAAATCACCCTTCAGCTCAAGGGTTACTGCTGATTACTGAGTTGTTGCTGTTTTCATGCCTTATCACTAGCGCACACAAACTGACCTTAACCAATGGAGCCTCTATAGCCCGTCTGGTCCCAGGTGGGTGGCTAGAAGTTCAGCAAGACACAGCCAAGCCAAGGCTCCTCTGCCCACACATTGTCACTGTCATGGCTATAGGGGGAAGGGTAGCAACCTTTATGTATCCTTGGCAGCTGTACTGGATTGCCTTACCTGTAAAGGGTTAAGCAGTTCAAATAACCTAGTTGGCACCTGAGCAGAAGGACCAATGAGAAAAGAAGATACTTTCAAATCTGGTGGGGAAGGATTTTGTTGTTGTCCTGTGGGTTGTTCCCTCTCTGGACGGAGGGAGAAGCCAAGCAGGTACAATATCTCCTAAAAATATACCTAGAATAATCCCTCTAAAACCACAGAAACTGTGAGTAGGGCAAGGAAATCCATTCGGTTATCTTTTGTTTTGGCTTGTGAATTTTCCTATGCTACAGGGGTAGTTTCATTCCTGTTTTTGTAACTGTGAAGTTGAGCCCAGAGGGGAATCCTCTGTCTTTTAAATCTTTTTATTACCCTGTAAAGTTACCTTCCATCCTGATTTTGCAGGTGTGATTCTTTTACTTTTTTCTTTATAAATAAAGTTCTTCTTTTAAGAACCGGATTGAATTCAGTGTCCTGAAGACAAAGGGTCTGGTCTGTGCTCACATTGCTAAGGCAACTGGTTGGTATATTATTCTCAAGCCTCCCCAGGAAAGGGGGTGAAGGGGCTTGGGGGGATATTTTAAGGGGATAAGGATTCCAAGTGACCCTTCCCTGAATATTTTGTGTAAATCACTTGGTGGTGGCAGCAATATCACTCTAAGGAATTAGTGCCTTAGAGAAGTTTTAACCTAAGCTGGTAAAATATAAACTTAGGGGGTCTTTCATTCGTGTCCCCACATCTGTACCCCAGAGTTCAGAGTGGGGGGGGGGAACCCCGACAGTCACTTAAATAACTCAGTTATGTTTAGTTCCCACTTACTGTTGTTTCAATGCAAGTCTGTGTTTGGCTGTGGATGCCCTCGTTGTGAATTAAGAATGTCCTAGTTTGATTGAGGACAAGTCTACACAGCACAGTTTGTGTAGATGTACATGTTTTGATTCTGCTGGAGCAAACACACTACCAATAGCAATGTGGCTGCAGCAGCAAGATGGCAGCTTGTGCTAGCCACTGGAATACAACTCCCTGGACATGTAATGTGTAGACAGACCCTGAGTTTAAGCTTTTGTGTTCTTGTTTGGTTGTGTCCTTCCCCCCTTTTCCTTTCACTCCCTTTCTGCTACTTTACACCCCACTGCTCCCATTCCTTGCCTATGTAGTTCCTGCTTCCTTCTTTTCTTATCTTTCTCCTGCTCCTCCTTCTGGCCTCTCCTTTTTCTTCACTTCATTTTGCACCTGATATGAGGTGGGACAGGCACCTCCCATTATCAGCAAAACCATTTCTGATGCAGAGAGAACAGAAGACCAGAGATCCCAGCAGCCATGGCCTCAGTGACTCCTGTACAGGAAATCCAAGAGGAAACCAAATGTCCCATCTGCCTGGAATATCTGACAGACCCAGTGTCCATACACTGTGGGCACAACTTCTGCCGAGGCTGCATCACTCAGTACTGTGGTACATGGACAAAGGGGGACTATGACCCTGTGTGCTGCCCCAACTGCAGAGCCCGAATCCGGAAAGGGACTCTCCGGAATAACTATCAGCTAGCAAATATAGTGGAAAAAATCAAACAACTAGATATAAAACCAGGAAAAGAGAATCTGTGTGAGAGACACGCCAAATCCCTGGATCTGTTTTGTGAAGAGGACTTGGAAGCTGTGTGTGTGGTTTGTGAGAGATCCCCCGAGCACAGAACTCACATGGTGCTTCTCATGGAGGAGGCTGCCCCGAAATACAAGGTAGGAAACACTGTGGATCTGGGTTAATCTAATCCTTTCCTTTTCAGACTAAGTCTTTCAGAGCCCCAGAATCTCCCAGTTTCCCAGATTTTCTCCCCTGATCTCTGGATCGACCTAAATCTCCCCCCTGCAGGGACCTCTAGCCACTGATGCTGCCTCAGCTTGTCAATCCTGCACTGTTCATTAGGGAGACAAGGGGACTAGAGCTCTGTGTGAGGCACTTTCCTCACACTCAGGATTAAAGCAAGATGTGTCCATGCTGTTGCCAGGCCAGGAATGGAGGGAATGAGATGCTCCCACCACACCCCTGACAGCCCAGGCACTGCCAGCAGGGTGTTGTTATTAATCATGAACATAGCCCGGGGAGTGGTGGGGAGCCATGGACCCTCCACATGCCTGGGTGGAGGGGCCCCGAGAGCAGCCTCCGGCCCATGTCCCTGGCCCCCAGGTCCCACACCCAGGGCAGGTGGAGGGTCTGCAGCTCCTCGTAGCTGCCTGCGTGGCTATTCCCCTGACCTGGCTCTGGCTTCCAGCCTGGCCCATGGGTGGGGCCTTGGGGGCCAAAGAGCTGCAGCCGGACCATGGTAAGAGCCACGCAGGCAGCTGTGGGGTGCTGCAGACCCTCCACTTGTGCAGAGTGGGGAGTCCAAGAGGTGGACACATGGGCCAGGGGCTGCTTTTGGGCCCCCACAATCCAGGCAGGTGGAGGGTCCCTGGCTCCACAGCTTGGCTCCAGCTTCTGGCTTGACCGGGAACAGGGGCTCAGGGGAAGAGGCGGGACAGGGTGGGCCTTGTGGCCCCTCCACCTTTAGGAAGAATCAGTTGCCCCTGTTGGAACGTCTATACATGAGTGGGTTTAAGTGCAGGTATTCTGGGCTCTTCCCTAGAGACCCATCTCTGGAGTCACATGATTAAAACAGATCCTCAGGTTTCAGAATTAAAAAAATCAGTAACCAAAAAGTAACTTTCTAGCCGATATGATTGACAAGAAAAGTTTGAAAATATGTCACAAGCATAACTGATATAGTGACTTGTGACTGAGTCTGTAGAGAGCCTGAGTTAATAGCTCTGAGAAGAGGAAACTGCCCTACGCATCTCAATGTGATGTTCACTCCAACAACTACTGCTATGGGATCCTCATCCCCCTCTCCCAAGCTGGGGGCTCTGTATGTGAAGCAGGTGGGGAAGAAGGCCCAGTTTACCATCCCAAGAAAATAAACATGATACACAAATCTGTGCTGGCAGCTTAAATATACTGAGGTCCCTGCCCCCAAATAGCTTGCAGTGTATATAAATGAGTATACAAATTTCCCTTCCCTCCAAACAAGCTTTTGTATGTGTCATTTATTTTCTTTTCAAACATAATCTGAGCACTTTCTGAATTTTCTGCTGTACTCAGATTGCATTTACCCCAAATGAAAAATAGCCCTTTGACAAAGGCAGATTGTAGCACTATGACCCTTCTAAAAAATTCAAATTTCTACCCAGCGTCATGTTTGAATGCTGTTTCTGTATATTACTCAGGTTCAATGGCTGCAGAATTGTCCTTTGAACCTCTCAGGTCTGTGAGTCATTGTTAGCTAGCTTTCAAACCCCTGAGCTTCTCTCTCTCCACATGCTCAGTGTAGTTCTTTGGTGTTTGACCTTTAGCAAACAGCAAAGGGAAACACCCAGTGTTGTTGCAGGTGGGGCATATTTCTGAGCTCAGGAACCTGAACCTTACCCTGTTACACTGCCCAGAGGGAGCCATGGCTGCAGACAACTGGGTGGAAAGTCTCCAGGATGAAGCTACATGTCCCATCTGTCTGGAGTATTTCACAGAATCCATCACTCTGGCATGTGGGCACAATTATAGCCAAGCCTGCTCAGCCTGTGCTGGGAGGGATCCGATACAGCCATCTCCTGCCCTCAGCAAAGGCAGATTAAGATTGATTGGGGCCCTGGGCACAAAGAATATTTGGGCCCACCACACTCCGGTGGCTGAGGGGAACCAGAACCAGTGGGGCAGCCATAGCCCCCCACTTTCAGAGGTGACACATATCTGTGGCTAGTGGGGGGCACAAATGAAAGATTCTGGGAGTCACGTGATTTCTGATTTCTCAGGACCCCTCTGGCATGGACACCCAGCATTAAGGAGGCAGCAAACCCCCCGGCAGTAGCTGTATCAGTGTGTTCCTGCAACCTGGGGAGGGAGGAAACAGCAGGGTGGCTGGCCGTATTATCATAGGACCTGGGAGCCTCAGTCAATGACCAGGACCCCATTGTGTTAGGCGCTGGCTGACTGAGCTCCGTCCCCCACCACATGGGGCTGCTTTGCCTTCCCTGCTCCTGGAGTCCCACACTATGCCTCTGCCTCCAGCCCCGACTCACCTCTGTGGACCGTCTGCAAAGCAGGCAGCAGCACTGGGACTTCAGCACCAGGGAAGGTGAAATAGCCCCATGTGGCAGGGGAGGAGTTCAGCTGGCAACCAGCTCCTGCTGCTTCCTCCCTCCCTCCCCAAGCTGCAAGGACCAGGGAGAGCACTGCTGCCAGGCGGAGTACTGCCTCTTTGCTGCTGGCTGTCCCCACCAGAAGAATCCCCAGAAATCTGTGGGGCATGTGACCCCTCATGCCTCCACCATGCATTGCCTCCTTATCCTCAGGCAGGCACTGTGCCAGGGACTGTGCCAGCCTCTTCCTGGTCATGGGAGGGACTGAGGTGGGCCTTAGGCCCCGCCCCCTGCTCCTGCTCTCCCCCCAAGGATCCCTAAGAGCTAACCAGGGAGCCCAGGCTGCTGTGGGGAGCTCTGGAGCCTCCACCTGCCCTGGGTGTGTGACCCGGGCCAAGGGCTGCTCCCCCCCAGCAGGTGGAGGGTCCAGGGCTCCCCACAGTGGCCTGGGCTCCCTGGGCGGCTCTTACCTCAGCCTGGCTCCAGCTTCTGGCCTGGCCAGGGGGCAGGGCCTGTTGGGGAACAGGAGGGGCAGAGGGCTGCGCCACAATTCTGGTGCTGGTGGCCCTCCTCCCTCCTACACAGGTTCCGGTGCTCCTGGGGGCCCCAAGTTGGTTGAGACCCCATGGGCCAGTGTGTTAATCTGCCACTGGCCCTCAGTAAAGAGAAACTGCAACAGAGAAACCTCAGGTCAAACAGGCAGCTCATGAAAGACATAGAAACAGCCAAGTTTAGAGGCAGCAAAAGGCTCGGGAGGGGAGAGGGTGTGCAGGGAACACCAAGAGCTTTTGAAACTGTTCTGTGAAGAAGATCAAACTTTTATCTGACTGATTTGCCATCTGTCGTGAGCTCACATGGTGGTTCCCTTAGAGGAGACTGCCTAGGAGTACAATGTAAGGAATTGCTTTTAAGTTGAGTAACTTTAGATTTTGGATATCTTTTTAAGCTATTAATCAGAGTAATAACTTTGGATTTTATTTACAGATTAATTTTATAGCAAGTTGCCTATCACAGCTAGTGGTGTAACTGCATCTCTGAGCTCTGTAAAGCCTCCATTGTATGAAACATGCTATAAAAAATAAATTATGCAGCATGAGGAATTTACAGATGTAGAATGCAAGAAACCTTTCTCTTAGAAGTTGAATTCTTTTCCAAACCATTTCCCACTTCGGGTCATTTGAGCTAAAAGATGTGGAGGGAACCCAGTGTAACTGCATTATTCCGCTGTGTAAAGCCTGTGTATAACAAGTAAATTATATGGCAGAGTGGCAAGAAAGGCAAAAAGCCCTGAAGAATTAAAGATGTCTGATGTGAGAGAATTTCTTTCTGGGAAGCTGGTTCCTCTTCAAACCCTGCTCCCACTGGTGCCATAAGGGAACTTTCTACAGAACAGAAGTTGTTAAATGACCAGTGAGGTTTAAATCACATGAGTTATAGGCCAGTCTATGTGAGAGTGTTCCCTTTAGCTAGCCAAAGTTCCCTTCCCAACAGCTAGCCAAAGACTCCAAAAGTAATAGCAAAACATTTTTTTTAATACATCAGAAGCAGAAAGCCTGCTAAACAACCAGGGGGGCCACTGGATGATCGAGATGCTAAAGGAGCACTCAAAGACGATAAGGCCATTGCAGAGAAACTAAATGAATTATTGGCATCGGTCTTCACTGTTGAGGATGTGAGGGAGATTCCCAAACGTGAGCCGTTCTTTTTGGGTGACAGATCTGAGGAACTGTCCCAAATTGATGTGTCATTAGAGGAGGTTTTGGAACAAATTGATATACTAAACAGTAATAAGTCTCCAGGACCTGATGGTATTCACCCAAGAGTTCTGAAGGAACTCAAATGTGAAATTGCAGGACTACTAACTGTCATCTGTAACCTATCATTTAAATCAGCTTCTGTACTAAATGACTGTAGGATAGCTAATGTGATGCCAATTTTTAAAAAGGGCTCCAGAGGTGACCCTGACAACTACAGGCCAGTAAGCCTCACTTCAGTATCAGGCAAATTGGTTGAAACTATCGTAAAGAACAAAATTGTCAGACACATAGATGAACATAATTTGTTGGGAAATAGTCAACATGGTTTTTCTAAAGGGAAATCATGCCTCACCAATCTACTAGAATTCGCTGAGGGGGTCAACAAATATGTGGACAAAGGAGATCCAGTGGATATAGAGTATTTAGATTTTCAGAAAGCCTTTGACAAGGTCCCTCACCAAAGGCTCTTAAGCAAAATAAGCAGTCATGGGATAAGAGAGAAGGTTCTCTCATGGATTGGTAACTGGTTAAAAGATAGGAAACCAAGAGTAGGAATAAAAGGTCAGTTCTCAGAATGGAGAGAGGTAAATAGTGGTGTCCCCCAGGGATCTGTACTGGGCCCAGTCCTATTTAACATATTCATAAATGATCTGGAAAAAGGGGTAAACAGTGAGGTGGCAAAATTTGCAGATGATACAAAACTACTCAAGATAGTTAAGTCCCAGGCAGACTGTGAAGAGCTACAAAAGGATCTCACAAAACTGGGTGCCTGGGCAACAAAATAGCAGATGAAATTTAATGTTGACAAGTGCA